CTTTTTGATTGACACATATATATTCTATTTGAAATCACAAATTTTTATAATGTTATTTATATTTTGTTATTGAGTACAATAATTATTTATATTTTGTTATTAAGTTCAATAATAAAGTTAATGTTAAATATAAATAGTTTATTAAAAGAAAAAATAAAATATATCATAAAATAGTAAATTTTTATCGTAATTTTTTATAGTAATAAGAAATTCTGAAACATTATAAAGTAAACCTTCAAGAAATTGTAAAAAATAAAAAACGAAAAATTAATCCTATATTTATTAGAAGAGGAAGCAACTTGTATAAAATCTTTTAAACGTAAGATTTTTTATTTGAGATATATATCAAAGCTTTGATAAAGTTTCCAGCTTTATTATGGTTATTCGACTTATGTTTCCCGCATTATTATATCTAGAAATTTCAACCACATTACTCGACCTTATTGATAGTAAACGTATATCGACGTATATATATCTACACGCGACGTGTATATGGCGGCGCGAGATATGCAGAAACTGCTTGCAGCACATGTGTACATGACAGTTTAAGGTTATTTACATGTGACCCCATCGGAAGCTCTTCCCCGCTGCGTATAATGTCAAAGCATGGTCACGAAAAGACTAGAGGCGTCATGATATGCATATTATTACAATTATCAAGATGAAATTTGTTAATCAATTTTTTATTATTTCGCCTTCTCTGATTAATTTGCTGATTTATTTACCTCGCCTAAAATAAAAATAATTGTTAAATAAATGCGCTTTATCCTATGATGTTTTTTTTAAAAATTACGACATCGCTGAAGCTTTCTTAACTTTCAATAATTCGGTTAATTGAGTAAAGAAATTAATTAAAATGTAAATTAATTTAATAAAATTATAATTAATTTAAATGATTTTTTACAAGAAAAGTTCGACAATTCAAAAATTCCTAAAAATTATAAACTTTGCAAAATACATAATTTTATATACAATGTTTTATTTCGGCTGATAAACAATTTTAATTCTTTGGAGCTATATCAGTTATAAATCTTGATAAAAAACGTCAAACAATTTAATTTTTTATATTACATCTGCAAATTTGGATTATTCTTATTAAAATATAAATACTAGTATTTTCTTTTTCATATTATTTTATCCTTAAAATTAATTAGTGCCTTTTAAAATACATGTATTAAA